GAATTTCTGGTACATGATCTCTCCCAGCTTTGGATATGCTTATACAGCTCTTTGCCAAGGGCACAAGGAATGGGGGATGCCAGTATGGCTCCTTGCCAAGGGTGCAAGGGAGCCTAGATACAATTCTACAAACACAAATGGTGCCTATACTTTCCTGCGGGGAAGGGAGTGGGGGAGTAGAAGCCACTGAGGTATTATTCTGAGCAGAAGAACATAGCTGGTGGGAGCGGAGGACAGCTTCTCGCTAGTCCTCCATCCAAGGATGCTCTTTGTTTAAAAATGAACTGTATGTGTTGTTTGTAGTCTCTTCCATCAGAGTCGAAGCATTTCTAAGAATCCAGCCCAGAATTCAAAATCTTCACAGATCTTTCTTCTTGTACAAGAAAGTTCTATAAGAAGGGATTATAGTGTTATCTGCTCATGTTCATAGATCTTTCTTGCACAATCCATGTCAATTTTCTGTTGCAATGTAACATTTTTCATGAGCGTTCCTCCATGGAGGAAAAATGTCAAACCTCATTGTACGCCTGTTCTTCATCAAGCTATGAGCAAACCTGCCAGCTCAACTACTTTGAAGTGTACATTTCTTCACTAGGGGCATATTACTTTCATGCCGGTACCCTCCCTCCAAATTTGTCACAAACAGAAACATCACATCTGTCTTTACTGACACAGCTGCCCTCATTATGGTGTTTGGGAGACAAATGTAATCATCATTCCAGTGTATCAAGCCATTCTAAAAATGCAAACAATAAATAACTTTAAGAGAGTTAGGCGAGGAAAGTACTCATATCTAAGAACAGAAAAAAATGCCTTGCTGTATCTCACTGAAGACCTACATTGTTGGCCTCTGCTTTCCATTAGCTCCAGCCAGAATGGCCAAGGGTCTGAGATGGTGGGAGCTGTACTCCAGCAACACCTGGAGGGCCACAGATGTCCATTCCACACCCCTGGCCTGTCTAAACCAGCACTGTGCCCAGGAACAGCCAGCCAATTGCCACTGGGAGCCAACAACCAGAGAATGATGAATACTGCCACCCTCATTGTTAACAGTTTATAATCTGGCTCTACTGCCGCAGTACATGGAAGTTCAAAGTTTAGCTGTGATGGCGGGTGGTGCTGTGGGTAAAACCTCAGTGCCTAGGACTTGCCGATCGCATGGTCGGCGGTTCGAATCCCCGCGGCGGGGTGAGCTCCCATCTTTCAGTCCCAGCTCCTGCCCACCTAGCAGTTCGAAAGCACCCCTAAGCGCAAGTAGATAAATAGGTACCGCTTTATAGCGGGAAGGTAAACGGCGTTTCCGTGTGCTGTGCTGGTGCTGGCTCGCCAGAGCAGCTTCGTCACACTGGCCACGTGACCCGGAAGTGTCTCCGGACAGCGCTGGCCCCCGGCCTCTTAAGTGAGATGGGCGCACAACCCTAGAGTCGGACACGACTGGCCCGTATGGGCAGGGGTACCTTTACCTTTATGGGAGTAGGCCATTTCAAACTCTTGATATTTGCACCACACATGTACAGTGGTAACTCAGGTTAAGTACTTAATTCGTTCCGGAGGTCCGTTCTTAACCTGAAACTGTTCTTAACCTGAAGCACCACTTTAGCTAATGGGGCCGCCTCCTGCTGCCGCTCCACCAGAGCACAGTTTCTGTTCTCATCCTGAAGCAAAGTTCTTAACCTGAAGCACTATTTCTGAGTTAGCAGAGTCTGTAACCTGAAGCGTATGTAACCTGAAGCGTATGTAACCTTAGCTACCACTGTATGCTCATCCCTTGGTTTATTAAAACCTTAGTACTGAACACTTGGTTGGCAGTAGCTAAATGTGTGAACTGACTCTACTGAAAAAGCATTTCACTTGAGACAGTGTGAGGAGATACTAAAATTCTGTGATGGTAACTAATAATGATAATGATAATGATAATAAATAATTTTGTGACGTGAAGTTGATGCTATTGCACGACAAAAATATATGTTTGCATCAGTCCTATGAACCATGTTTGTAGAAGGATCAGTGTAAACTTTTGCTGCTGAGGTTGAACTGGAAGCTGCAGCAACTATGACATGCATCAGCTTAAGTACTCACTGCAGCAGAATATCTCTCATCATTTTATGCTGCTGTTGAAGGACTTGCACTGTTGAAAGACTTGCCACTTAGGTAGTGGGCAAAGTTCAAGATGCTAGTTCTGGTGTATAAAACTTTGTATAGCTTCCAACCAAGATATCTGAAATATAATCTCACCCCTCATTTACCGTGCTCTGCAGGAAAGGACCTCCTGCAGATACCATCTCATCAGGAAGTCCATTCCATATGATGTATGAATCAAACTTTCCGAGTGGCAGCACCTGCCCTTTGGAACTCTCTCCCATTATATATCAGACCTTTACTGTGTTTTCAGCACCTCCCAAAGACCTTCCTCTTCCACAAACCTTTTAAGTAGACATTATTTTACAATGTTCATCTGCATTGGCCAATAAATTGGTTTTTTTAATGTAGATTTTGTTGTTGATGTTTTTATTGTAAAACCACTTAAGGATGTTTATGGGTGAGCATTTCATTCTATAACATAGAAGTGAGCTGAAGAGCAGCTCCACCTTTGAGTTTTATGGATGAACTTAACTTTTATGCAGATTTAAGAAGCCAGAATTGTAGTTCTGAGTTTGCACATAAATACATAAGGCAGAAATAGCCTGCAGAAAGAAGCATGAATAATCTGTTTTTGCCATGATATGTCATATCTCAAAGCATTTGTAGTAAGACGCATTGTGCACACTACCTCCTTTCTTCTTCTGCAGCAAGGGGGTTTCATGGCAGTGTTTTGTTTCCTGGTATGAGATTTGGAATTGCAGGTGGGAAAGAATATTGGCTAGAGTGTGCAGGATCCAGGTGCTTTATCTGAAGTCATGCATCAGTTGCTAAGTAGGGACAGCCTGGGCCTAAATTAGTTTGGATTTTGGTGCAGAATGAAGGCTGCACCTGTTTCTCTCCTCTGATTACACAGTTTGAGGGTGTGAGGCCAAAACCCAGCAAGATCCCAGGTTGATGAAGTTGTTACCTTTCAACCCATTCATGCCTGAAGCAAGAATGAGTATGATTTTTTTAAAAAAACTTTATAGTCAGCAGCCTTTTCCAGTGAGCTGTTCCAAAGGTTTTCTTTCAAAACCCATTTAAAATGTTACTTTTCCCAGCCTCTGGTCAATTAGTTGTTTTTCTTTTCAGATAATTGCCTTCTTTTTGCGTGTGGCTGTAATGGCACAGTAGGTGAGTGAGTTTACTACCCAACTGCAATACAGTAGGACAAGCGACATAACTGTCCTGAGAAAAAGTGGATATTCTGGAAAAACTAATTATGCCCTGCTTCCTTAAGCTCTCAAAAATGGAAATTCAGGTATCAGGAAGCAGAAAGATAGAAAACCCCTGGAGGTTGCTATAGGGCTGTTTGAAATGGCCTGGTAATGGCTTCACAATGAATATTTTAGATGTGTGTGTCTCTAAGTGTTTATATATTTGCCGGCGCTACAGATAAATCTTTCCCTAAACCTGGAGATTGCTTTGGGCAGGCTAGGTTGCCTTGGGCAGGGTATGAAGATCTGTCTTTTACTAGGAGTGCTTAAGGAGAATGTGGAGGAGCAGTCACTGTGTTCTCTGCAACATGTGGAGCCTTGGCATATACAGAGTGACTTGCTTTCCAACTGAGTGACCATAAACAGTCCAAAATACATATTGGGGGTTAGTTAAAGCACTTCCTCCTATTAAGTAGAGTGCTTCTGGGTGTTATAAATGGGCAGCGAACTCTTAGTAATTTAATTGTTGTTGGGTTTTTATTTAAAAAAAAACCAAACCAACCAACCAAACAAACAAAACAAATAAACAAAACCCTGGGAAATAAATGCTTGTGCTATTTTCTGCCTTGGGTTCCAAAGCAACCTGTCCAGCGCTGGGCACTATGCACTTTAACTGGGGCTGAAGGGGGCATTCGCCAACCCCAGACAGCAACGTGCCTCCGGGCTGGCTCTGCAGTCCCTGTTGCTTCTAATTTATTTGTGCGTTTTTAAACCGCAAGGCACTGCTTGGTGCGCGTGTGAGATCTTGCGTGTGCCCATCGTCCAAACGGAACTTCTTCTACCACAGCTGGAGGTTGCTTGGAGGGGGGGGGGAGGGACGGCTGGAGAAGGTCTGGCCAAGCCCTTACTCCTGTGGATGTTTATAGCCGAAGTGCCTGTCTGCGTGCGTAACTAAGGCTGTCTGCCCGCCCGCCCTCCCGATGAAAAGTGTCCAGAGAGGCTGCACATTCCTTTGCAAACGTGGCGTGCCCATTTCAGCGTGAAGTGCCTGGCATGCCACACCGCCCACCCCCTCACCTACCTCGAGCAGGCGGGGCGGCAAGGGGGGTGGGGGTGGGGAGAAGCGAGCCGCTGGCTGTCTAGTTGAGCCGAGTCCTAGTAGCCCTCCGAAGAGCGACGGAGGGAAAGTGCCTGGACTACGGCATGCTGCAGACGCCCCTCGCGCGCTCTGTTCCTTCCCTCCCTCCGTTTCCTTCTCTCTCTCCCCCTCTCTCTCCCTCTCGCTGCCTTTCTCTCCAGTCTAGCTTGACGCAGGCAAGATAGAAATCACAGTTAACCACCCAGCCGTCGCTGAACTGGTGCCGATGGGGCACCATTTAAGACGATGATGTTTCTTCGAAGCCTCCTCGCGTAGCCTGAATCGCCGCGCCGAGCCAAAAACAGCGCCGACTCCAAGCCAGCCAGGCTGGAGGAGGCGCGCGTTAAAAGGCTAACAGGAGCTGCGGGCGGAGGTTGCGGCGGCGGCGGCAACAGCAGCAGCAGCAGCAGGTCGATCGGAGGAACGATTGGCAAAGTTGGCTTGAAGTGGGACAAGCGGCAGGAGGAGGAGGAGGCGGCGGCTACTACTACTTCTTTGTGGGGCGGGGGGGAAAGTTGCCACGCGCGGAGAGGGGGGCGCAGGCAGGAGCCCCACGGAGGTGGAGGAGGAGGTGGTGGCGGAGGAGGAGGAGGAGGTTGAAGGATGGGGACGCTGCGGGATTTACAATATGCCTTGCAAGAGAAGATCGAGGAGCTGAGGCAACGGGATGCGCTCATCGACGAGCTGGAGCTGGAGCTGGACCAGAAGGACGAGCTGATCCAGAAGCTGCAGAACGAACTGGACAAGTACCGCTCGGTTATCCGGCCCGCCACCCAACAGGCGCACCAGCAAAGCTCCACCACCTTGCATGGCGAGCAGAGGACCAAGAGGCAGGCCATTTCAGCCGAGCCCACCGCTTTTGACATCCAGGACCTCAGCCATGTCACCCTGCCTTTCTACCCCAAGAGCCCACAGTAAGCCAGGGGTTAAGCGTTGTGTCCGTGTGGCGTCCCTGTGATGTGGTCTCGGTCTCTCTCTTTCTCTCTCTCCCCCCGTGTATCTGTCTCTGTCGCCCGCACTGCCCATTCACTCGCCTTGTGGATCCCTGTGCGCCGCCTTCTGCTTCCCATCGCTTTCCTCCTCAGCTTCAGAAATTGCTTCCACCCAATCTGCCTTCCCTCCCTCCTAGCGCTAAAAACTCTTTTATCTCCCTGAGCTGCCCACATTTCCAACGCCACATTCTTCTGTGTCCTTTTCAGATATCAAGGTATCCAAATCCCCCTGCAGAAAAATGAGAGTTCCTAGAGTGTGGAAATGTGAAGGGCGGGGGAGCACAGTTTCTCTCATTTTATCCCCTTCTCCCTTTCTCAAAATTATCACAGCAGTAACCGCATCATCAGACTGTCTCTTCCAGTGTGGTATGTCGTTTCTGTCTGGGATTTTGATATTGTTGTGGCTTTCTGCCCTGAATTTAACAGGGGACTGCCTGCCATTTGAACTATGTGAACCAAATTCACGGACCTTTTTTTTTTTTTAATTGCACCCGTTTCCTATTTACAATGTATTTATTAAAGAGAGAGGGGTGTTTTTGCTAACATCTTCTCCTATGAACCTAAGTTTTCTTTGGAACCTACTCAGGCAAAAATATTTGGGGTAGTTTCTTTAACCGTTCTGTGTGACATAAAAAGGTGACCTGGATGCTCTTTATCTGTGACATATATCTATGACTTAGTAGCTCTCTGCAAAGCTGCTTTTCACTTCTTTGCCTGCAAGGCCATCTATCTGCAAGCTGAGCATTGGTGGTATCACAAGGTAGAGGTAAGAATGTGAGCGACAACCTTCCCCACTCAGTCACTTTCCTCTTTCTGTTCCCAGTGAGAATACAAAGACTATAAGGGTTTAGAGTAGACAGCCCCTTCACAGTACAGTCCTATATGTCTACTCGGAAGTAAACCGCTTTGAGTCAAATGGGGCTTACTTCCAGGTCAGTGGACACTGAATTGCCTTCTTTAGTGTTCTCTCAGAATCTGAAGAGGCAGCCTTATCTTTCTACACCTCAGAACAAGTTTCCTTTTCTACTGTGGAGAATTCTTTGTTCCTCTGACCCTCAGGTGGTTGTTGTTCTCTCCTCCTGGGTAGTGGAAGGCTTTGGGTCTATTTACTCTTTCATTTCAAACTTTGTCTGCAGTTCCTTACTGGTGTATTGAGGTGGGGGCTGTGAGGCTGCAAAGAAAGAGAGGAAACACAGAAGACCAGAGCTTAATTTCTCAAAAGAAAAGTGCCCAAGGGTCAAGCCTGCCTCTGGCCCTGACACCCTGACCCTTTAATTCAAGCTATATGGTGCCTTGTTGCAATTATTTGGTGATGAAGTAAAGGCAGGGACGCTGTGCACACTTTGCATTTATTGGTTACTGCATCCCATGTACGGGGGCAGGGGAGACTCAGTCCTTGCACTCAAAATATGTACTCTGATAGCCCCATTCTCTGCATTCTTCCAAGTGACCCTGAGAAGAGTGTGGCTTACTCTTAGACCTTCATCTCTTCTGTCTTTCTTCTTGGCTGTACTGCTGTCTGAAACAGAGAGGTGCCTTAGATTTATACTGCCAGTGCTGGTCCGCATGAGTTTGCAGCCTGGGCTTTCTCTAGTACATAATTTAGTGTGTCTCTGGGGCACAGCGACACCAGTGCAGGACTTCCTTCTGATTCCTCGCCATTCGCCAGCATTACTTCTTCCTCTCATCTCTCTTGAGTCTCTTTGGAGAAGTCTGGTCCGCTTCACCGTTCACAGCTCATCAAGTCCACCAAGGCAGTCAAAACTGACAAGGCTTTTTAGAAAGGAGAGCAAGGGGGAAAGGTGTCTGCTTTGCTCTTTCTGACAACCTAAGTTAGAATTTAAGAGGTGTCAAAAACTAATGCAATGTTTTTGCTTCGAAAGCAGGAAGCTATGGGTTGCAATAGTCAACAGATGTTGTGAGTTCGGTTGTTCCTTTGGACAGTATGATCCTATACACATTTAGTAAGCATTATACTCCCAAAGGGAGTAAATACAAGGGCTTTATTCTTGAGTGAAGAACACCCATCCCATATCATTCCCTTTTCCTCAGGATAAATAAATCCAGGACTACATAATGACAAGTCTGTGGAGTAAACCCCATTGAATTGAGCCGTATAATTGAAAAATGAGTGTTGGAAACTTACTCACATCCATAAAATATACATTGCTTTTCAGTTTCCTCATGTGGTTTCAAATTCTTGTTGGACTTTGGGGTTCTCTGAGTTACATAGTTTTTCTTTTCTCAGCTTAAGGAAAACTTTTGATCAACATAAGCTGTAGTTCTCAAGGCACATATATTTGTGTAAATCCTTAACACCAGGTTTTTATTACTAGTGAAAACATTTTAAGAATACTCTCCCATATCATACCTTTTTCATCAGGATAAATAAATTCAGGATTACATAACAACAACTCTGTATATTCCTATACTCATAATCATCAACACAAGTTAGAATTGCTACTCAGGATGAAGGCATGAATTGAAAGACTCACAGGAACTTACCGTGTGTAACACAATGTGTTAGAACACAGAAAATGTGTTTGATTATCTTGGGATTTCACCTCTGGGTTATCGTTACCGTCAATCCATATTTGTACATTTTTAGAACTCCCTGGTTGGCCACAGCATATGGAGGACATTATGCCGGTTATCCCTGTTGTACTAGAATGAAACTCTAGCAAATTCACTTGTGTGCTTATGTGACACACACAAACACTTTTTCTGGCTCACACTCTGGAAGCTAAAGATGCCTCCACACAAGCTTATGATTGAGTCGCATATTCAAGAGTTGGCTCTCAGTTTGTGGCAACATTAAGGGAATCCATTGCATGTTGGAGCCGGCCATTTGGATAGGCAGTTGTCAAATTGCTCCATCATTGCCACATTTCTGTTCAACCAATGATGTGAGTAATTCCTTTCATCAGCTTTCAAGGCCAGTTTAAGCCTATCTGGGTGGACAAACAATTGGTCAGCTGGAAAGTACACTGAGGTGGCTTACAGTTTGTTTGTTTTTTTGTCAGATGAATAGCCAGCCCCATGTTAGAAGGCTCAAAGAGGCTGAAAGAAACATTGGATTTAATTTTCCAACATGCAAATTAAATCACTGAATTGTAAAGGTTCACACAGTTAGCAAAAACAAAGAGTTTTCTCACTTCAGCGTTATGTTCCACTGAGAATACAGAATAAGTAAAATTCTGTTAAAACAAATGCCCCAGTTTACATTCAGTTCTGTGGAGACATGAAGTACTTTGTGATTCGAACACCAGGGCATACATGTTTCTACATCACCATCAACAATATATATGCAAAAACGCTCAAAGGGTAGGAGTATAAATGGTTTTCTTTGTTTCCCAGCTCCATAATGTTCTGATACATATTTTTCTATATGACTTCTGTGAAAACATTCCCTTTGTTCAAATGCCTGAGAATATGTTCCTCTTGGGATTTCCTTGTATCACTGATGCCTGCTGTCCTTCTGTATGTGATAGAAGAAAGTGATAACAGAGGATGTAAGAGGTGATTTAGCTTGTCACTTGTCAATTACCATATTTTTCGCTCTATAAGGCGCACAAGACCACACAAGACGCACCTAGTTTTTGGAGGAGGAAAACAAGAAAAAAAATATTCTGAATCTCAGAAGCCAGAACAGCAAGAGAATCACTGCACAGTGAAAGCAGCAATCCCTCTTGCTGTTCTGGCTTCTGGGATAGCTGCGCAGCCTGCATTCGCTCCATAAGACGCACACACATTTCCCCTTACTTTTTAGGAGGGGAAAAAGTGAGTCTTATAGAGCAAAAAATACAGTAATTGAATTCACTGGCTGTCATATCCAGTGCCACAGATAAAGGGGGCACAGTAGGCATATCTTGTATGGGGGAGTATAACTTGTGGAGGGGATAATTATTCAGTTAGAGATTCTCCCTTCCAGTGGGAGTCAAAATGCAAATTGTGGGCCAGCCCATAACACAGGAACATGAGAAGCTGCTTTATACCACTGTCTGTCCATTTGGCCTGGTATTACCCTCTCTGACTGGCAGTGACTCTGGAGACTCAAGCAGAGGTATTTCTCACTTGCTACCTGATTATTTTAACTGGAGATTGAACTAAGAACCTTCTTCGTGCAAAGCAGGTGAGCCATCATTCCTCCAGAATATACTATCAGGGGTCCTAGTCATGCTATTTATCTAATGATGTTTCTGGCCCTTTTAAAAATAACAATACATGTTCAGGTAAGGAAGAATTTGCAAAGTGCATTTACTTTACGGAGGACAGATTTGTGGCATCCCATTGGATTTATGCATGGCTTCAGAATAAAACAATGACCAAGCAATAAAATTATAAGAAATGACAAAATGGGAGAGAGGTTGTGACAGTGTGTTCTGAAAAAAGGGGGAGGGAAGGTACAATACTCTCATAAAACAAAATCCTATTGGAAACCTTGTGGGCAGCAAACTGTGGAGCGACAGTCAATAAGATGCTGCTGAGTGAATGGGCATTCAGTGTAGGGAGCTCCTTATTGTCTGACATTCTTTGCAACTAGCAGAAAAATCAGGGAAGATCCATTGTGACAAAGATAAGATACGGAGCCTGAACATAGCACACAAGTCCCATTTGGCACTTACTCAGAGGATTGCCCTAGCATTCCTGATCTTGCTTCTCTCTGTGGTTTTGAAATGTCTTCAAAGGAGAGGAAGAAGAAAAAAGAATCCTTTCAGAATATTTTTCCTGTGCTTGGCTTACCTGCTCAGAAAGGAGATGGTGAAAGGACAGTTGTAATAAATCTGACTTTGAATCTTTTAAAATAAATTTGAGGGAAATAATCTGTTCTTGATTCTCACTTGCTGCCACAAGTTTTTAATCGAGAAATTGAAACCTCTGAAGAAGAAATACAGCATCCTTCACATGATTCTTAATTTCCT